CTTCCCCAGTGTCCAATAGAGCCAATGCCAGCCAGCTCCAGGACAGATCTACCACTGTCCAAGGCCAAGCCAATCAGCAACAGTAGTAGTGTCTCTGTGATAAGATATTTAAGAAGGGGGGAAAAACACTGCACAATGGGAACTGCAGCTGGAGAGAGTAAGCTGGAGTAAGAATATGTGACAGAAACAACTCTGCAGACATCAAGGTCAGTGAAGAAGGGGAGGGAAGAAGTGCTCCAAGTGCAGAGCAGAGATTCCCCTGTAGCCCATGGAGGTTAACAGTGGAGCAGATATCCACCTGCAGCCCATGGAGGACCCCACGCCAGAGCAGGCAGATGCCCAATGGAGGCTGCAACTCCAACGGAAGCCCACGCTGGAGCAGGCTCCTGGCAGGACCTACAGACCCATGGAGAGAGGAGCCCATGCTGGAGCAGGTTTGCTGCCAGGACTCGTGAGCCAGCAGGGGACCTATGATGGAGCAGCCTGTTCATGGAGGTTTTTTGTTAGTTTTTTTATATCGCATCTAGGATAATGAGGTCCCACTCTTATGACAAGAATACAGAAGTATTATTCTTGCTCTTGACATTGTTTGGTCACTATTGCATTGTAGCTTAAGGTCTCCAAAAAAAAATTCAGGTCAGATCTTGAACTTGTGTGGGATACCGCCAGATGTCTCAAAGAAAAAATTACAAACAAACAATACCTAAATCTCTTTTATACAGGATGGTCATTAATTTGTTTTCTTTCCTCTACTCTGCAAATAAACATTAGTGATTTCAAGCTAAAGGAAACACCACAGGGAACAAAAGGTTTGTATGAATTGTAATAAATAACCATACGACTAATACATAATAAAGACAAATATTTTTTACCTTATTAATTATTTTTTCTAATTCATACCCTTCAGGCTCATGTGGATATTGTTCACCTATGGTAAGGTTTGCGTAACTGTAAAAACAAAATTACTTAGCTTTTCAAAGCTCAAGAAACATTTCATAAAATACTCTGCAAGAAGCAATATTGTCAATTTACCCATATCCAGTTCCCTTCTTCCCTGGATTAGTATAAAAATTCTTTCCAGGAGGAACACATTTTTCTCTGGCTTTCAGTTGTGCACTGAAGTATGGATGTGGACCTCCTATGGTTCCAAAATAGCTGCCCAGCCCACATCTAAAAATAACAAATGAACACGTTAATTAATGTTTTTCAGATATTTCAGGCTTTCCATATCTAGTGTACTAAAATGACAGTAAGTAGAAAGCCCAAACGATATATACATCTCAGCAGTTAAAAACAAAATCAGCTCAGATCCACTGTCCATGGATCTACTTCTACAGCAATTCCATGCACTGTGTTATGGACAAAAAAGAAACAAGACAGAAGCAGAGATGAAGTTTAAGGTCTCTTATTAATAAAAATATGCTTAATAGAGGTTGCTTTAACTTTGGCCCAACAAGGTGAAGTAACACTGATACAGACAAATTCACAAACAGAGACCCTGGGGAACAGATAAAACAGGCTTGATGCTTGATTACAAGAGCCTTTCCCACGACTTCACAGAGAGTCATTAGTGTTGGTATGATAATGGAGAGGCAGGAAACATGGAGTATCTGTCTGAAATAATATTTTCTTGGAGATGTTAGGACTAGTTGACTTTCTGTGTTGTCATTGAAGGGAAGTACAAGGAGGCACAGCTCAATTAGGAGAAATGCCTATGTCTACTAAGCTGCAGGAATTGTGTAGGCTTTTTATATGCCAGTAACAAAGTAACCAAACACAGACACATGAAGAAAAGAAAGGCCTAGCCTTCAGTCACATCTTCATAACACAACATCTTTGCAACTCTTACAAATAATATGGTTGCTATAAAGTCAAGTTGTAGTTGAAATAAAGTTTTGAACACCAGGCTCACACATTGCCTGTCTCATGGGAAACAGCACACGTATATCCAACAGAAAGCTGACACACCACGTTTTTCACTTCTATTAAAAGCTGGGGTGTTCCTGTGACATACAACAGAACATAACTAATGCTTACATTCTAAAATATATAAAATAAAACAGAGGTTACTGTCCAAACTGTACAAAAGCAAAGCTGCAGGAAAATATGACTAAATATAGCCAGGAGACTATAAGAATTAGAACCTGGACACAGACTGAAGAATCCTCTCATCTCTTACTGCAGCAACAAGAACAAAACAAGATTGCACCATTATAAATGAATAACCAGGCTCCATCTGGTTTTCACATGTGAATAATAATTGTTATATGACACCAATGCAATTGGTGTCATTCTGTCACGCCATTAATGTTGTGCAAACTACAAAGGTGCATTTATCTCAATACTCTGCATATATTCCTCAGCTCTGTAACATCTTCTGACCATCCTATAGGATAATTGCTATTGTTTCTAACAAAAAGGTAATGGATATGGACTTGCTGAGAGGAAAACGTTGCATCTAGATAATGGCTTCTTTTCCTACTATTTATGTAATCTATATGCCATCTCTCAGAGCAGTGGAACAGGCTGCCCAGAGAGGTTGTGGAGTCTCCTTCCCTGGAGACATTCAAGACCCGCATGGACGCATTCCTGTGTGACCTGGTCTAGGTGTTCCTGCTCTGGCAGGGGGGTTGGACTGGATGATCTTTTGAGGTCCCTTCCAACTCCTAATATTCTGTGATTCTGTGATTCTGTTTTGGGAGGCTCAGAAATGGGAGGGAGAAGATGTTTGACAAGTTCCAACAGATTCCCTCCTAAATTAAAATGAAATATTCATTTGTTAATTATCCACACCCTTTTCCCATAGCCATCTTCATTGAAAATAGAAAGCTAAGGGGTAAGAAAACTGTTTACATCAAAAAAGAGTAGTTAAGTGCAAGCATTAGGGCCTGATTTCTATCCTTGTTCAGCCCCACCTTATCAGCAATTATGTGTTGCTGCTCAAAATTCTTCACTCAGTACTAACACTATATTGTATAAAAACCAATATTGTACTCTTATCACAGGTTTTATAAGAAGTAATCTGTGAAAATCATGTTCAGTGTACAGAAAAGGTAAAAAGGTCAATTTAAAACATTTGCACAACACTTAAGGCAATTTGTTTCCATTACTGGCGAGGAAAGCTTTGCCTAAATTTTTCTTTGATTCTGCCATTCTATAGCGTCTCCTTAGCTGAACAGGGTCTGAGTAGGCTTCACCACTGAAAGTCCTCACAAACTGAGGCTCAAAACAACCTGCCTGCAAAGCCGACAATGTTTTGGTCCCCTCAGATAACATCTGTCTGTTCTTGCTCGCAGCTTCATTAAAAGGGCCTTTAAAAAAGTAAGCACTGTAAATAACTGTTCAATGTTCATGCTTTTCTTAACTTACATTGAGAAACTAAGGTCTGGATCTGGGTGGCTCAAAGAACGTACTGCAGAGCACTTAACCTGTAACTCATATGTGTAATTGGTTGTGTCTGAAAGGCAATGCTATGAAAAGGTGTTCACAGCACCTACTTTCAATTTTCTAATCCCTGCACTTGCTTTACAAGCAACAGAGACTAGTTACTCCAGATTACAATTCAGAGCTAGAGCTGATGCCTATTTATACACCATGAGTAACAATTCAGAGGAGCATCCCTCTCTCCGACTGGTTACAAACCAGGTAGAATAACTTAAGCGTCTCCAGGTGGGTTTTGAATCCCCAGCATATTTCCATTAAACACCAAGAAAATGAGAATATTCTCTAAAAAGACAGGATGGGGAATCTCACACACCTGAGTCAGATCAGATAAAAAATTGCAACACTGATTTTAAAATAATGACAATGTAATTGTCAATAACAAAAAACTTGCTGAAAGTGCACATAAAAAAACCCACTAGCGTGTCTTCTCAAAAGCAGGAAAATACTGGTAACTGGCAAATTTATAGACTAAAAGATTTTATCAACCTATTATGCATAAATATTTTTTCAGTTTTACTGGGTTTTTCCTTTCTTCGATATATTCATTCCAACATATAAAGCCTTTATCTTAATAATACAGACCACAGCAAAGAAAGTTGCAGTTTCCTCTAACAACAAAAAAACCACATTAGAAAATAGTGATTCTGAAAGTAGATGGACACTAGAGGTGGTCCCTATCGCTAAATAGTGACTAAAATGAAATGTACTTACGCATATAACGTGATACATATTTATCTCCAATGGTAACATAACTCATTTCGCTGAAGAGGCCAATCCTCTCCATATCACTTTTCCCTTCCGCAGGCATGGTTGAATCTGTGTGACACTGCACTACACTAAAATGACTGAAGTATCCTTTATCTGTTCTACTGCAAAAGTATATAAGCAGTCAGCACCTGTAAATAAAAAAGTTTAAGTAAAATGCGAGAAATTTTCATTAAAAATATTAGCCATAAATGTAATCTGAAGCAAGTAATTTACAATATGACTGACAGCGTTGGTGCTTATAGGACAAATGGACTATGTGGGATTTAGACGCCATTGTATCTCCTCTGTTAAACAAATTCAAAACACAAACAGAGAAAGAAAATCAAACATGTCTGTAATACAACTGGTGCAACTCTTACTGAATTGACATCGTTTGGGTCAAAATTTTTTAACAGGTATCTTCAGAGTACTAAGATGAGAGGTTTTGGTGGCATTAACAGCTAATAATAAAACACGCTGGGCAGCCTCTTTCATCTTGTGGGTTATCTCTAGCAATGGTTTTCAGTCAGTTTCTAATAATTGTATAGAACTGTAAAACATAAAAGTGGACTTTTGGAAGCCCTCTAACTGTAGTGCAACACCTGGTCATGGTAAATATCTCCAATTTCTTCGCACTTTTAACACAAACAATTTTGAGTTTTTCCTCATCGCCACCCTCATTGCAGCCTGACAGAAGTAAGGAAAATGCCTACTCAACAAGTGTAAGGAACTCCAGGGCTTGACTAGAGAGCAGATCTGACATGAGGATTACCAGGGATCTGATTCCAAGAATGAAAACTGGTGGAGATGGGAATCAGAATCAGTGAGAGGAAGAACTGCCTTGAAGAGAAAGACAACAGCATCTGATAAATTCACCAGGAATGGAAATTAAAGTAGAAGAAATTGATTCATAATTTAGGAAAGCTATTTCTTGAAAGTCATTAAATACTAGAATTACAAAAAAAAATCAGGGATATGCAAACCAACAGCTGAAGTATCTGTGCTCATGCAGCTTGAAAGACAGCAGGGAAATTAAGACATTAGGGTGAAATACCAATTAAAGACAGTTTAGGTAAAGCTCTATATAGGAAAACTCAGCTCTACGCACTGCTCCACCGCGCGCCACCGCCCCCTGCGAAGAGCGGCGGCCTACGCAGGCTCCAGCAGGCCGGTGGATCACGAGGGAACCGAGCGGCACCTGCTTGCCAGGGCCGGTACCTCACTGGAGCGATACCTCACC